TTATGAAACTGTTTTAAAGAATCCGATTCATATTGAAACATGCTCATAATTGAATTGCTCAGATTTATGTTTTTAGAAGCATTTTTACTTGATTTACGAAAATTCAAAAGAAACAAAAGAATATTTAAAACAAAAAATGGAAGTTAAACCAGTCTTGCACAATGACCCAATAGGAGGTCAGCTACATATCATATCATTGGAATAAGGCTCAGTTTAGTTTGATTGCAAGTTGCTTGAACTTGAAATTACCCAAAATTAGCAAAGAAATTTTTATTCACGGGCAGATAATGAAATTATGAGAATAAGGCTAGTAAATTGCTGAAGATGTTAGAAATAATGATATTTCAACAGTTGTACATCAGCGTACTTTATACTAACTTAAGCAAGGTAATGTTTAAAGTGTTATCAACTAATACTAATCAGTATAAACAAGAAAACTTTAGTCAATTACTTATAATTAACACCTATTTATTTAGTACTGAATGTCTGTCAAGTTAAGGTCAATTGTTCATTGTTATTGTGATTCTTGTAAGAGTAAATAAAAAAACAAAAACAAAAACTGAAGAAATGACAACCTCATGAATTAAGCTAAGTGAGTCATGATTTCACTAGTTCTTGTGTACAGTCCTTTTATGACAGTTGTGGAAAATACATATTATTATGTACATTTCAACTGCTTTAAAATATAAAAGGGAGAACTTAACAAGAAATTTAAGAGCGTTGCCCCTGGAATGCACCCCCGAAATTCGCAGTAAGTTAGTATCTCAATCTTACAATTGGAATCTCGTATCAAAATTATCAAACAGAAAGAGCTGCAAAAGTCTAAACTTGATCTCATATAAAGTCACGAATTACTAATCTTAATAATGCCAAACACTTAAGTTTGATTACAGAAAAACCAAAGATATTTGCGTTCAATATCATTCTGTTTTCTTGTTTATTCACAAGACCTTGCCAAAATAATGACATAAAAAGAGTCTGATTCTGTTATCTATGACACAAAATATGCTGCTGAATTTACTAATGAAAAAGAACTCACAGCTGCAGTAAGACGATCACAAGGATGATGCAAACTAAATTTATTAAAAATAATTGACAGAAGAAACCCTTCTGTCTCCGACACTTACTAGTATAAATCATACTGAACATTTGGTTCAAATAAGCAAAGGAATTGTGTGCACTAAAATATACAATACAACAGAGGATTAATTCACACTTTTCATGCATTAACATCTACAGAAGCGCGTGGACGCATTCTGAGCCCTCATTCTATTGGCTGTAGATGTTGATGCGCAAAAAAATGTATTAGTCATTTTGTTTTGGTGATTCTACGATATGTTATTTTCGCATAAAGGAACTAGTTTTGTATTGATTTTAACTTTAATTTTTGTGTATTATTTTTTGGTAATAAGGTTACTGGGGATCATTATAAAAATCAGCGGTTTTGCATGGTATCAGAATCATGCACATTGACAAGAGCTATTGGTAGGATATCATAAAGTGTTAGACTGTTCTTGGTGCTTTATAGCTAAACAAGAACCTAGATTATGAAGAATTCTCTATATTTAAAAGGGACATAATTCTGTCAAAATCCATGAAAGAGTTATTGACATTTAACGGTTACCTTCTATTATGCTAAAAAATAAGTGTATTAGCGTTTAACGTATCCATCATGTATTTTAATACAAAAACAACTTGCATGAAAAACTTGTAAAGCTGACGCCTTTGGTGCACACTATCACTTGCTCCCTATTCTTTGAAATATCAAGCTAAATAATGTGCTCGCATGGTTTTATCCATAAATGCAAGTTTTTTTGTCTGTAAATGTACATCTGTGTATGCAGTTTTTATGCAGGAATGCCACTTTTTTAGTTTGTTACATGTATGAAAAGTGTTGAAGATACAAATTACCTTTATTATAGAAATTTGTCAAAATAACATCATTTAATGGCAGCCATATTGGATTTTGAAGCCATATTGAATTTTCTACCAATGCTACTTAAGCATTTTCCAAGAAATTACTATTTTTGACCTATAATGTCAATTTATATCATTTTCTAATCATAAATAACTTCATTTTGGCATGCCCTTTGCAGATTTTACCTTTTGGCGGCCATCTTGGATTTTGGCGGCCATCTTGGATTTTTTAAAAGTGGATCCCAGGCTGAAATAACTTGAAATACCATTCCTTGACACCATGCCAAGTTTCATGCTTTTCACAGAAGGTGCACAATTTTTTCACAAATTTCTTGGACTAAAAGTTCAAGCTGCTTATTAAAATTGAGGATTTAAAAACGTATGTTAATTGCATTAGGTACTTTTATCACATACCCGAGCCGCTTTTGCGACTCCGTGCATATATTTTGATGGGACGTTACTTGCGTTATACAAACATCTCGTTACACTATAGGGGCGTCAATGAAAAAATGTTACTTTTTTCACATTAAACAAACTTTATTTTTTGGTATGTGATAAAAACAATATTATATTCGTGGAGGTTCATTAATGAATTTATTGAAAGTGTTGAATAATGCTCGCCAGAAGCTCGCAATATATTCAACTGATTCAATATTGAACTAACCCTCATTCAATATCCTCTATTTACATTAAATCTTGATTAGAATTGACCAAACGTCACAGAAAAGGAAGATTCAGCTTTCAAGAGACATTTTATTATTGATTCAGGTCAAGATGACGGACAGATCGTACACACAATTCGACTATAGTTTTTTATAATAGAGGATGTTCAAAGTAAATGAATACTTATCATTAAAGTTGATGTTTCTTATGATTCTCAACAATATTCTTTATTCGTATATAATATTATTATTATAGACTTGATGTAATAAGTTTATTTTACTGTGTTGAACGCCTGATAAAATACAATTTTTAAATTTATTTTACTGTGTTGAACGCCTGATAAAATACAATGTTAAAAGTTGCTTATAAGTTGCTATCAATATAAAAAAATTGTTTCTCAAGCTCCATATACTTGATACTAAAGGGATTAAATTGTAAAATGAACATTACATACATGTCACAATTACAATATACCACAACATCTACAAATAGTCGGTTTATCAATGTATCTGACGGTTTATCAATGTAATGTATCTGACGGTTTATCAATGTAATTTATCTGACGGTTTATCAATGTATCTGACGATGAAAAATTACAAGATAAGACTGATATAAGTGATCCTAATGGAATATAATGTGGAATGAACGTACAGTGTTTGTGTATGGTAACAATTAAGAAATAGTATACTTTAAAAGAGATGAGATATTTGAGGAAAGGCAGTGTTGAAGGATCTGAAGGGTCTCTATGCTGACTTACGATGTGGTGAAACAAGGAAGCTGTACTTTCAGTGGCAAAGATGATGCCCAAAAAATTTTTTTTTATTTTAAAATTCATTAAATTTTAGTTAAATGTTTAAAATATTTTTAATGTATAAAAGTTTTTCAAATAAAGGGGGAAAATTCATATGAAGAAATTATTTTTAATGTTTAGTATTCTTTAATAGATAAACACTTTTTTTTTTGCCCCCAAAAGTGGGGGGATAAAAAGCGTTTTCACTTTTTTCGTCCCTACTTTTTGTCCGAAAGTCCAAAAAACTTGTGAACGGGGAACTCCCCTTAAAAACCCGGGTACAAAATTTTTTCTTTTAAAATTCCAGGGATAACAACCTTTTAATGGTAGTTAAAAATTTTTTGTGGGGGAAACCCAAATTTTAAAAAAATATGGCCCTTTTTTGGGTTTTTTCCCCCTTTTGCTATAAGAAAAATTTTTTGAAAGGGAAAATCCCCTTAAAACCGGGTGGCAGATTTTTCTTTAAACCCCCAGGGTAAAAACCTTAATGGGGGTAGATGGTAGTTAAGGAAAAGGGAAATTTTTTCTGGGGACCCAAAATTTAAAAAGAATCATGGGGCCCTTTTTTTTAGTTTTTCACTATATCCAAAAATAGAAATTTTTTGAAAGCAATTCCTCTTTAAAACCCGGAAAGGGGGATTTTTTTAAACTTTCCCGGGATGAACAAATTTAAAGTGTGATGAAAAAAGGAAGGTTTTTCCAAAATTTAACCGAAAATTTTGGCCTTTGTTTTTTTTTTTCACTATATTTCCATAATTTAGTTTCAGTTGGGGGGATCCTTTTCCTTTGGACACAGTTTTAGTTTATATAAAGACAGTTCGTCCAATATGAATAGTTAGATTTGTGTAATAAAGTAGGGAATTATTAAATCAATTCTGAATTTTTTCAAGTTACACATTTTGATAACATAATATGGACAAAGATATAGAAACTTAATTGCGTTTTTATTGTGGTTTATATAACTTAAAATAAATTTTAGCTGATCCCTTTTGAATCTCGTACCAACATCATAACTACAAACATCCTATGAATATGTTGATCGAAAAAAATTCATCATCATCCTGAAATCTTTTTTTGTTTGTTTGGTTTAATGTCTCACCAACACAGTATTAAACTTGGTTTCTAGCTTTACTTGTGCAGGAAGACTTCAGGGGCTCCTCTGTGCATACTTTCAAACACAAATGAGCAACTGAGTAGAACCACTGACGTTGGGTGTAAGCTCAATGAATAGCTCAATCTCTAACATGAAAGAATTTAAAGACACTTGCGCAGCTCAAACCTACAGTGGTGAAAGGCAAAGGGTTTGAGACCACTCGGCCACGGATGTGCCTATTCTGAAATCTGAATGCTTAACAAAAAATGATAAAAATACCTGAAATTACCCAAAATCGCGTTTTTTTCATGTTAAAACATGGCCTAACATATAAATTTGAAGAAATATTGTCGTTTTGTAGAATTTTTTATTTTTTTCATTCATGTACAAAAGCTCTATAAGTTCTATCATCTTATATGCTCACCCATGGGATTTGATTAAATATAAGTGCTTGAAAGTCTTCAAAAATTATCTTAACTATATCAGTGTTACTTCAGTAAACATCAGAATATTGTGTAAAGGAAGGATAAGTAAAAATTTAGGCAACTAACATTTAATATTAAAGAATTTATTTACAAGAAATTTCATTAAAATCATGACACTTTGTCATCACATTTTGGTCTACCAGGTCTCCTTGGAATCTGGGCATTAGGATCAAATTCTTTATTGTCAAACATTTCAGTATCTTTAGTGATGTGTGCCTCTGAAAATATATACAATATCCAAATTATAAAAAACTAAGCCTTTAAAGTTTAAAGCAGCACGGCTCGAGTTTCATGTTTATTTTCATGAAAATTTTGAAAATGTATTAAAAAAGTAAAATATTGTGAAGTCAACAAAGAAAATATTTTAACATTGCAATCAGCATAAACAACCCATGTAAATGACCAAAAAAGAGGTCAAAATATGCAAATAGTAGCCCTTACTGCTTTAGTAACGCAGTAGAAATATGGGGGAAAATAATGCAAAATCGGTCATAAATCGCTCATAACATAGAAATCATTACATATATCTTGAATTTTTTTACTTTTCTCAAAATCTCAGTACTTTTTACTCAAGTTTTATTTTCTTGAAATATTTTAGCTCATCTGGAGGCATGCAGCTTTAACTTACAAGAGCTTCCATGATCGTTCACATGAATTCTATTTTTTTGGTCATTATTTTGTAAAAGTGTATTTATAAGTGTATAAAGGTTAAGTTTGTGTGGTGGCCCTTAAGGAAATACTACAGATAAATTATCTAGGCTCTAATATGCCATGTATGCCAAGAATAAGAACAAAACAAGAACACGGCATGAGTGTTAACACTCATCTGTTCAAAAATTCTATGTTAAAAAGGGGCATTACTCCAAAAATATAACTTTCAGAATGACGCCCCTTTTCAAATTACCGTGCCAAGTCATGTAAACAAGAATTCCAAGTTTTATATTAATACCTTAAAAATTGTTTGAGTTATGAACTACACTAAAGTTTTTGCATGATGACAATGAAGACCACAATGATGATCACAGCAATCATAATAGCTCGACATTTTCTTCGAAACACAGACAAGCTAATAATTAAAACGTTTTTCCTTACGGAGTCCATATAAAACAAAAGACATCCCAGGGCATAATTGAAATAAATTTGGTAAAGAACCACAAAATATTGATACACACCAATCATCTCAGCTCTGGGCAATTTAGTTTTTGAGTATGAAATTTTTTTTAAAGTATTAAAGAGTTCTGTTCAAATTAATATAAGAATAATTAAAACTGCTTGGCAAAATTTGACCAAAGGGGAAAGTATAAGATAATCTTTGTTGACAACTTTGTCTTCTGGGCATTGTAACATGCCCGGAAACTTATAGTCCACACAGATTCAGGTAAAAATATTTAAATGTTTTCTTATATTATTCATTATTCTATAACATGATGATAATGTACAAATGTAGTCTGGGTATTGATGGTATTGATAGCAAAGGGCTACTTATGATGCCAAGGGCAATCCGCATTAAGTTTATATTTTGTAGAACTGCAACATCATGCCACATACCAAATATCTCAGCTCTTGGCAATGTAGGTATGGTAAAGAATTTCAAAATTTTATCTTTAATTTTTTTTTCAAGGTCCTTTGGGCATCGGACTGGAACCATTCAAAATAGCTTGTTGAATTTCACTTTACAATCATTGACATTCCTGTGAAGTTTGTGACAGCAATTTAAATCCTAATATAGCAATAAGCTTATACTTCTCACAGTTGGCAATAAAACTCAAATGTGCATTTGTATATAATTATAGAACAATGACCATGACCTAGTGTGTAGAATAGCTCTTCTTTTATATATTAAAGGGACTCCACTAAAGTTTAAAAGCCTAAAAACATAACATTTGAATTTCGTACTGAAATGAGCTGGGGCACTTTAAACAGAAATATATGCAAAGATAGTTAAGAAATATACTTTGAAATAAATTGAAAATCATATTTTTATGCTTCTCTTAGCCCGATTTGAGTAAAAAGTGTTTAAATGCTTTTTATTTTGGGTCATTTTTTACAAGTTGAATAGTTATTCTGGAAAAACAAAGTGTGCAAATGATCTGAAATTTTGCACAAAAATTAGTGGTCTAAACCTACATCAAATGGTACATTTATCTGGAAAAAATATTTTCAGTGCCATCATGTCAAAAAACCTCAGTGGAGTCCCTTTAATTAATGTATAAATGTACAAGTGCAAAAGCAATCTATTAGAAAACTTTACTTATAATAATAGTCTTGAAATATAACTAAAAATACACATGTTAAGATGATCAAAAGAAAAAGAGTAAGACTTACTGTAATTTCCAGTATCATTGTTATACTCCATTTGAACTATGTTAGTTCTAACTGCTATTTCAGCATCCTTTGCTACAGTCAGTAACTGTTGAAAAGAGATATAATTTTTTTTTAATATAACAGAGATTGCAAACAATACATGGAAATGGTATATGCATGTATATAATATTGTATTTTAAAAACTGGTAATTTTTTTCTTGTGTAGTTACTACCGGCGAACTGGGACATTCCCTAAGCCAAAAACATGATAAGTAAAAAAAATTGATATTCAACAGTCTGCATTAAATCTGGTTGTTGACATTCCTTTAAAAAATATATTGTTCAAAAGGAAAATCCCTTGTAAAAACTTATACAAGAAAATATTAAATGTTAAGACTATAAATAAGCTATTCATTGCATTTGATTTTTATTTATATGCTATACTCTCAATTCCAATCATGTTGGTGTGGCATTCCCAAAATGTTAAACAAAAAGGCCTAATACATATATGAATAAACTGTTAAAAGCTATTTTTCTTTCTATTGTTCTAACCTGGGTTCGTAAGTCCCAGTGAGTTCAAACCCTGTCAGGGGCAAGCCGTTGTTTCCTTGAGCAAGAAACTTTACATTCATTGCTTAATTAGAACTGGTTGTTTCCAGGAACAATTTGAGAATGTTTTAATAAACTAATATAGCTTCAAGCACAATCAAACTAAAATAAATTTGTATTAATTAAGACCCAGTTCTAATAGAATGCAGTACAAATTACCAATGAGTGTTATCAGTGGTAAAAAGGAGCAATAAATCCTGCAGGAAGTAAAAAAGTCAGATGTAATTTTGCAGATCAATGCCAGGAGTGAAATGCAAAAGCAACTTGTAACAAAGTTAGTAGAGCTGCAGAATGAAAAAGAGAAAATAAGAACCCCTAAAGAAAGCCCAACACGGCAAAATTGAAAATGTTGCAGGCTCGGTTTGATTGAGCCTGTTCATGGACGTTACTGTCAAGTGCAAACTACTGTCCACACCCCCTAGCACCAGCTTCACAGTGATAAAGATTTGAGTGTAAGTGAACTTTAAGATATATAAGCCTACTGATGAACCCCTGCCACCAACTTTTTATTAGAGTGCCAGGGCCAGCCTGAACACATGTGCAGTCTTTAAAGGCCCTGTACTGTTGGTAGCTCAATTTTTAAAATTTGAAAAATGAAACCCCTTAAATTATGAATGGACTGTTCCAAATCAAAAGCAGGATAAAGTCATTACACAAATTTAGCTTAATTTAAGGGTTAGAACTTACCTCTTCAATTTTCTGAGAGTCATTAACATCTTTATTGTTTCTGAATTCTTCATTGATTTTCTCCCTCACAACTGCGATTTAAAATAGATTTGCAACTGATATAAAACATATTTTCTGGCATTTTTGGTAATAAATGCCCAATTTTCAACTTCAAACATGTGTTATCTTATATTTCTACAAACTAAGCCACAACAGTAGTAGATGTCCAGAGAACTATACTGAGGTTATTCCTTTAAGTGTCAAAATGTCATAACTAATAATCCTTAAAATTCATCAGGGATAGTTCTAAATATTCCACATGCAAGTCTTTTATAATGGTAGTGCTGATGGATTTCAAAACGTGGTGAAAAAAAGAAGAAGAATGAAATACAATTTGAATATGTACTATCACCTATATATTCAAAAAGAAAGTGTCTCAGCTTCCTATAGTCTGTGTAGGCCATGGCCGTAACCTTTTTTCCAAGAAAGTGAAAAGTAATCAAGGTGTAACTTAAATAAAAATACATCAAAAATTTAAGTAGACAATACCCTCATATCCTACCAAGAAAGATATTTTGAAGAAATTATATATAATGATAATTTTATAATTTCATTAATTGCATATTTAATCAATAAATAATCATTGGTGTAGTGGTGATAGTTTATCCTCAGAATCGCAGCAGTGAGCAATTATGTATTCATCAGAGCACAGTTCAGCCACCACCCCACTCCTGGGCAGGCTGTCAAGCCGTATACCATACTAGTTACTTCATAAATAGATGATAAACACTTAACTTATTGGTCTGTCAGCTGTAAATTGGATACCATCATGAGACTGCTTTATATTTGGTCTGTAGTTGCTAAAAATGTCCTGTTATATTAATTCCGAGCAGAAAATCCAATACTACATGTAGTTACAATGGTTGGTTATGTAGTAATTACATATAATAAGCAATAAAACTATATGAATGATAAAATTATATCAAAGCTATTGAAATGTTTAAATGTACCTCCAAGAGCGTAAGTGTCTCCTTTGAACACTGATTTTCTTGTTTTGTGTAGTTGCTTGAATATTGAAAGTACCTGAAATACAATTTATAAGTTCACAAATTTATATCAATACAAAATGCATGTTAATCTAATAAATAATGAATAGAAAATATAACAAGTCAGAAACTTTGGAGCATTTAGAATAATTTGATTTTATGATAAGATTCTGAGAGTCAGACACATTTACAAATTTTGATCTGCATTTTATCCAAATTCCTTTGAATCAATTAGATGTCAAGAATTTCAGACTAGAGATTCTATATGTAAGGTGTACAATTAAACTTACTAACTTAATTTCTTTCAAATTCCTTGAGTATCAATAAGATGTCAAGAATTTCTGATTCATATAAGGTTTATTTCCAAAGAATGACAGAAAAAGCACAAATACATTTCTAACTGGGTAACACCCTTGCAATTTATTAGAGACACTTTCAGTGTTTCAACCAGTTCCCACCTACATAGATGTGTACTAGTAAAAAAACAAGATAATCCTTGCATGTATCAGTGCTATACATTAGGCATGTAAAAGAACCTAGGGGTATTCAATAAGAGCTAGGGACTGGTTTCAAGATTCCCTTGTATCTCATAGCTGTCTCTGAAGTCAGGAGTCATGTCTATTCACAAAATCGAAAACCTAGCTAAACGTCGTTTTTCCAGAGCTCTGGGGAATTCACCAAAAGGGTGTGTAGTAACAATCTGTATGTTTTTGTCATTTTTTTGGATTAACGTGTAATAAAACAATTATTACTTTGTAAGAAAGTAATTAAATATCACTGTATGAATAATTCAATACAAAAAATAAAGTAAATAGTACATAAGTTTCTGCAGAAAATATCTTGATCTATTATGGCAGATGCTACGACTGTTTTAATTTTACAGATTTTAATTATCCATAACTTTTTTTGGGAAAATTTGCGATAGATATTACAGGAACATTAATAATATTCAAACACATCAAGTTTTTTCACCATAAACAATGAAAATTAATTTAATAATGATAGAAAAATGGAAATATCACATACTAGTGTTATGTATCCGTAACATACCGGAAAACGTTGTTTAGCTAGGTTTTCCAAAAGGTCAATGTGCACGCAAGGTGTTTGACATTAATGGAAGATAGATAGATAGAAAGATGGAATCAAAGATAATTTAATTACCTTTTTAAATATTAAATACAGTACAACTACAAGTTGTAGTTAATTAGAAGTCATTGTGTAGCATATGCCAATGCATTATCGACGAATTACAGTCAACCCGGCCCCAAGTCAACCCGGCCTCAAAATTGGTCAACCCGGCCCCAAAATTGGTCATTCCCGCCCCACAGTATTTTTATTTGGTCAATGTGGCCCCAAAATTGGTCAGTGCGGCCCCAAAATTGGTCATTCCGGCCCCAAAATATATATTTTTCAAAGAAAAAAGTCATTTTGTTGTATGATGGAATAATATTGATTTATTATTAATTGAAGATTATTAACTACATGTATATAACAATAGTAAAAAAAACATGAACTTGCATAAAAGTGTCGGTAAATTTAATTGCGCCGATTAAGTCTTTAATACGCACTAGTGATAATGAATTATTATATAACATCAACAATTATATGTACATCAACATTAATTCAGATGTGATAATCAAACAGTTTAAAGCAATCAATTAACAAAAATAGTATAACAACTGTGAAAACAAATCCTTTAAATACAAATGTAAGTTGGTAGTATCTTACATGTCTTTATTCGATTAAAGATGGTTTCTTGAGTGTTAATGCGATAATTAGGAAGAAATGCATAGAATTTCGATTAATGTTTAAAAAATCTTATTTATTGTTTAAGAAGGAACAAACCATCGCCGATTTTATAGTTATTTATGTTATCACCAAGATGATAATAAAATATTATACTTTGTTGCGCAAATGCTACTTTCATTTCAGGTCATTGGACGTGGTCTTCAAGATAGTCAGCTGGTGAAAGAAATTGTTTGTTTATATTGATAGTTTTTATATAAAATAAAAAATAAAAGATATCATCGTTGAACTTTTGTTTTTGTTGTTAATTTTTATTTTATTTCTTGATAAGTGTTTACATTTTAAAGGAAAATAAATAAAATAAAATGGGGCCGGGTTGACCAGAAATAACATTAGTTTGGGGCCGGGTTGACCAGTTTGGGGCCGGGTTGACCAATTTGGGGGCGGGCTGACTTGGGGCCGGGTTGACCTGGGGCCGGGTTGACTTGTACCGTTATCAACATGCTTTCAGAAGTTACTGGCATTGTAGCTAAAATTATTGTTGTCATTTACAAAAGAGAATTAAGTACTCAGAGTGACAGTGGC